CCCCCTCTCATTTCCTGCCACCAAATTTACTGTATGCTGAACAAGAGAAACACAGCTTAACTCCTGACCTCCCCCTAATATCACATTCCCCTGGCAGCAGCTGCCCCCTGTTCGCCACCCTCCCCCAGAACTTTCCTGAAGACCAAGCTGCCATCTCCAGGCCTCAGCTAAGCAGCCTGGCTGAGAGCAAGGTTCTCTTAGCTCTCCTAGGACATGGGCAAGGCCCACTCAATCTGCTACCTAGGACAGACAGGTACACCTAGGGTCTAGCTGTGAAGCAAGATATTCTGGACAGCAAATGGGAAGGGTATTTTTACTGAATCATGTATCCAATCATGGTCCAGATATCGCAGCTGAGAGTGGTGCTTTTTCCTTATGTCTGTAACAATACAAACGATACTAAAATTACCACCAAAATACCTGGCCTAGATATGCAGTTGAACATTCTCTCCCTCTGCCCTCCCTTTTATTCTCTCTTTTTCTTCTTTGCTTGCTTTTATTTTTTTCTCCCTTCCTTCCTCCCTCCCTCGCTCCATCCTTCTATCCCTTCTTCCCTTGTTTCCTTCCATCCATTTTCCTTCTTTTCTTTCCTTCCTGCCTTCTTTACTTTTCTCTCTCTTTCTTTCCTTTTTCGGGTACATAATCAAAATACTTTTTCCACAAAATCATTTGAAATAATTTTTCTCTATTTGTTCATGCCAACATTGATACAGCTACTTTAATTGTTCAGTTTTCATTTTTATATTTTGGAAACTTGTTGTGTTACTTTGTTTTGTTTCATATTTGTTTTGTATATATAAAACATTTACATGGAACTGAAGTCAAAATTATAAAAGAAGATGGATTTGAAGATTTTAACTTCCATTGTAGAATTCTTGTTCCTCTTTTCTCCCTCACCCTATAGGTAACAATATTTTTATCAGTTCACTTGAGCTTTTTCACTCTGTTTTTCATAGCGGAGAATGTATTGCTTCTATTTCAATGCCATATTTATATTTTCATTCTGATATTCCGTTTTTGTACATTGTAATCAATCTTTTATTTTCCTATGTCTGGATTGTGTGTCTTACTTCTAAAGGTGCACATACTTCATAAGTATGCATAAAGAAATCCATATTATGTATTTGAATGTTTTTATGCATTATTTAATGATGGCATCATTGTTCTGTCAGGAATTTTTACACAATAATTGCTGTATTAGTAATAATAATCCTGACCAGGCCCGGTGGCTTGTGCCTGTAATCCCAGCATTTGAGTATTCCAGTCAATAGGAACACTTAGGTCAGAAGACTGTGACCAGCTTAGCCAACATGGTGAAACCTTGTCTCTACTAAAAGTACAAAAAATTAGCTGGCTGTAGTGGTGCACACATGTAATCCCAGCTACTTTGGATGCTGAGGCAGGAGAATCTCTTGAGCCTGGAAGGTGGAGTTTTCAGTTAGCTAAGATCACACTACTGCTCTCCAGTTTGGAGAACAGAGTGAGACTCTGTCTCAAAAAAACTAATAATAATAATATGATGGTAAATATGGGTACTGACATTCTGGTAGTTAATTTACTAAGCACATTACATGCATATTTTATTTAATCTATACAGAAACTTTATTAAGGATTTAAAGTACCATTGAATGTAACATAAGAAATTGGGGGTTTAATTAACATTCCCTAAATCATGTACTTTAATTTGATAATGATTGCATTCCAAGCTCTGTGGTTCCAAAAATGAGATTTGTTAATTTGGTTTGCATTCCCCCATCTTTAAGAGTACTAGCATTGTTTTACAACTTTATAGGTCGTTTATACTTCTTCTTTTGAGAATCGCCTTGTCATACTCTTTGCCTATTCTTCTTTTGGATGATTAATTTTTTCTTATTGGTCGTAAGAATGAATATACACCATTTTAGAGATACTGACCCTTTATCAAATGTGTTGAGGATATTTCTCCTCATTTGTTATTATTTACATTTGGCAACTTTTGGTGAACTGAACTTTGATAAAAACACAATAAAATCTATCAATTTTTCTAGGGTGTCTAGTTTGATGTTAGTCTTAGAGAGGCCAATCTTACCTAGAATTTGTATGCAATTCATCATCGTTTAAGTCTAATGATTTTCTTTGTATTACTACTAAATCACTATTTGTAACTGGTAAGGTAGAAATGCAACAATATTTGTTTACATATGGTAAGCCAATACCCAAAAGAGAACTTATTAAATAATTGACTATTTCCTTGTGGATATTAACATATAACTTTATCACATGAGAAAATATTACATACATGTGGTTCTCTTTCTGGATTTTCTGCTGTGTTCCATGAATCTTGTCATTCTAGTGCCAGTATTGCCCTCTCTTCAGCACAGTAGCTTTATAGTTCTTTTCACATTCTGATGAAGTTTCTCTCATTATTTTTTTGTTTTAAGAATTTTCAGTGCATTCTAGTGTGATCTCAATCCTCTCCCTTCCCATTTTTAGACTGTGAGACTTCTGTCCAGAAAGACTTTTTCATGCTCCAAGGCAGGCAAACTCCCCGGCTTCACAAGGAGCCCTACTGGGTGCTGATTTCGTTGGGCACCAGATATCGGGGAAATCAGCCCCCAATATTTCAATGTAGGTTATTTTCTGTTTTCCCTAAGTGTCAGCCAGTCTGAGAAATAAAGAGAAAAAGTACAAAGAGAGAAATTCTACAGCTGGGCTACCAGGAGTGACATCACATATCGGCAGGTTCCATGATGCCCACCTGAGCCGCAAAGCCAGCAAATTTTTATTAGGGATTTCGAAAGGGGAGGGGTGTATGAATAGGGAGTAAGTCACAAAGATCACACGTTTCAAAGGGCAATAAAAGATCACAAGGGCAGAAGGGCAGAGCAAGATCACAAGGCCAGGGCAAAATTAGAATTACTGATGAGTTTCCATGTCCCACTGGGTACATACTGTCTTGATACTCTCTTGATACTATCTTCCTTACCAGGAAACAGGATTCGAGAGCAGAAAACTGGTCTGACTAGAATTCACCAGGCTGGAATTTCCCCAACCTAGTAAGCCTGAGGGCACTACAGGAGACAGGGCATATTTCATCTCTTATCTTCAACCACATAAGACAGACACTCCTAGAACGGTTGTCAATAGGCCTGCCCCTGGGAATACGTTCCTTCCCCAGGGTTATTCCTTGCTGGGAAAAGAATTCAGTGATATTTCTCCTATTTGCTTTCTGCAAGAAGAAAAATATGACTCTGTTCTGCCTGACACTACAGTCAGTCAGACCTTATGGTTATATCCCTTGTTCCCTGAAAATTGCTGTTATCCTGTAAGAACAGGGTGCCTAGATTTGATATTGTTCAAACACACATGTTTTACAAACAATTTGTACAGATAATGCAATCATCACAGGGTCCTGAGGTAACATACATCCTCAACTTATGAAGATGGTGGGATTAAGAGATTAAAGTATAGACAGGCATAGGAAATTATAAGAGTATTGATTGGGGAAGTGATAAATCTCCATGAAATCGTCACAATTTATGTTCAAAGACTGCAGTAAAGACAGGCGTAAGAAATTATAAAAGTATTAATTTGGGGAACTGATAAATGTCCATGAAATCTTCACAATTTATGTTCTTCTGCTGCAGCTTCAGCTGGTCCCTCCATTCGGGGTCCCTGACTTCCCACAACAAACCCTGAGAACTCAGCTTTCAGAGCTGCTCCTACGGCAGCTTCATGTCCTGCACATGTGGTCCAGAGGCAGAGGGAGACCAACCAGAGCCCCCTCCCTTTCTCATTCACAGCTGTGATGACAGCAGAAACTGAACTCTCTGAGCTGGGCCAACACCACAACTGAGAGGGACATTGTTTTACATCTCATTATGCATATTTTAAATGTATGTCTCTATATACTTCTTAGAGAGGAGGTGAAAATCTGTGTATGCCCTACTGAATTTTCACAATTATATTACTGTACTTGTTTTGTCCCCTATATTTCCATCTGTGAATCCAGGTGCACTGCAGATCTCAGTTCACTTTCTGAGGGTAGGGCTGCCAAACAAAATAGACAATACCCAGGGAATTTGGAAGTTCAGGAAAATAACAAGTTTTTGGTTTATGTATGTTCCAAATATTGCATAACATGGCACCCTGAACTACTTAAACAACAACAACAACAACAACAGCAACTCATACACCTACTTCAATGAATAAAAATCCTCTAATAAAGAGATCACACCCACAGGATCACAGACACCCCTTCCCCACCTCCACCCCCCGACACACCCATTTACCTTACAGGAGAGTCCAAACCCACCAACATACATGATCCTCAGTCCTTTTAATAAAGCACGTTCAACCCTTCTCAGAGTGGCCTTGGGTGGTTGCCTCCAAGTGCCATGCAGAGGCAAAAAGGAAGGCAGTTCAGGGCCCTCATCAGAGGCTTCCTGGCAGGACAAGGTCCTGGCATCAGCATTTGCTGCTGCAACTCTGAAGTGCAGGGTGCGAGCCTACTGTGGGACTGCCCCCTCCGAGGGCTGAGCCGTCTGACTCCAGGGTCAACTTCCTGGACATTTGCAGTCCCTCTGCCGCAGGCTTGAGCTCTCCATGCCCCTGGCTGTCTTCTGCAGAGGGCCTGCTCTCAGCTGCCACAGAGGGTGCTGGAGAATGGGCCTGAGCAGAGAAGCAGGAGCTACTCTGCAGGTCCTCCCAGGCACCACCCCTCTGAGAGGAAGGTTTGGGAGTCCCGCAAGGTAGATCCTCAGTCACTTCTCTCTACCTGTGACTCAAGAAGACCAGCTCCCCCCACTGCCGTCTGTGCCAGAGATCACTTCCTTGTTGAGTAGAACCTGAGTTTTGAGAGGGTCTTCTGCTCCTCTTCATCTGGTCCCTTTCCTTCCACAACCCCAGAGAAGAAGGCATGCAGTGGACCCTAGCCGTGCTTCTAGCTTTCCTGTCTCCTGGTAAGTGTGCTGCCTACAGAGAGGCTCACGGGTTTTGTTTTGTTTTGGTTTGGTTTGGTTTCTTTCTTCTTTTGCAAAGGATGCCCTACTAAGAAATGCCTCATTATATTCTGCCAGTCACATATCTACTAACTTGGAAGCAAGAAGAAAGTCAGGCACCAGGGGGTCAGGGTCATCTGTTGTTATCACCTGTGATCTTCCTGTAGAAAATACCTTCTACATCCACTGGTACCAACACCAGGAGGAGAAGGCCCCACAGCATCTTCTGTGCTATGACCCATTCACTCCAGGGATGTGTTGGAATCAGGAGTCAGTCTAGGAAAGCATGATAATTATGGAAGTACAAGGATAAGTCAGAAATTTATACCTCTGAAACTAAATGAAAGTGACTCTGGGGTCTATTACGGTGCCAATTGGGACAGCCACAGTGATTCATACCTGCTGAATACCACACTGAAAATCTGCCTTGCGGCTGCTTCTGGTACACAAGGTAGAAATGACCCATCTCATTTCTTGCCACCAAATTTACTGTATTCTGTACAAAGAGAAACACAGCTTAACTCCTGATCTCCCCACTAATATCACACTCCCCTGGCAGCTGCACCCTGCTCTCCTCCCTCCCCCAGGACTTTGCTGAAGACCAAGCTGCCATCTCCAGGCCTCAGCCAAGCATCCTGGCTGAGAGCAAGGTTCTCTCAGCTCTGCTAGGACATGGGGGAGGCCTGCTCATTCTGCTTCCTAGGACAGACAGGTACACCTAGGGTCCAGTTGTGAAGTGAGATACTTTGGACAGCAAACGGAAAGGGTATTTATACTGAATCATATATCCTGAGATCACAGCCGAGAGTGTTGCTTATTCCTTATGCATATAGCAATATAAGCAATACTGTAATTACCACTAAAACACTAGGCCTAGATATGCAGTTGAACATTCTCTCCCTCTAACTTCCTTTTATTTTTCCTCTCTCTACTTTCCTGGTTACTTGCTGTTTTACTACACGTCCCTTTTTCTGCCCTCCTCTCCCTCCCTCCCTAGTTCCCTTCCTAGCTTGCTTGCCTGCCTTCCTTCCTTCCTCCCTCTTTCCCTCCCTCCCTCCCTCCCTTCCTTCCTTCCTTCCTTCCTTCTCTTCTTCCCTCCCTTCCTTCCTTCCTTTTTTCCTTTCTTCCATTTCTCTCTCTTTCTTTTTTG